CTTGCTGACAGAGATGGTGAAGAGTCGCCTAAATGGCTGGTTTCAGCATCGGCCCCCAGGGGCTTCCCCTGAACGCTACCTTGGCTTGCCAGGATCTCTGAAGTGGGAGGACAGAGGCCCGAGTGGGCAAGGACAGGGACAAGGGCAGTTCCTGATACAACAGGTGACAGTGAAAGTCCCCTTTTCTGTGGAGCTGGTGTTTGAATCTGGCAGTGCCCAGGCGGGAGGAAACCAAGCCCTGGGGCAGCTGGCAGGCAGCCTGCTGACCCAGGCCCTGGAGAGCCATGCTGAAGCCTTTAGAGAGCGCTTTGAGAAGACCTTCCAGTTACAGAAGAAGGGCTTGAGCCCTGAGGAGCAAGCTTTGGGTCAGGCTGCCCTCAGCGGTCTCCTTGGTGGGATTGGCTACTTCTATGGGCAGGGTCTTGTGTTGCCAGACATGAAGGTGGAGGGATCTGAGCAGAAGGTGGCCCCGGCCCTCTTTCCACCTGTCCCTCTTTTCACAGCAGTGCCCTCCCGGTCATTCTTCCCACGAGGCTTTCTCTGGGATGAGGGCTTTCACCAGCTACTGGTCCAGCGATGGGATCCCCGCCTCACCCGGGAGGCCCTAGGCCACTGGCTGGGGCTACTCAATGCTGATGGGTGGATTGGGCGGGAGCAGGTGCTGGGGGATGAGGCTCGAGTCCGGGTACCCCCAGAATTCCTGGTGCAACGGGCAGCCCATGCCAACCCCCCAACCCTGCTTTTGCCTGTAGCCCACATGCTGGAGGGTAACGATCCTGCCGACTTAGCCTTCCTCCGCAGGGCCTTCCCCCGCCTGCATGCCTGGTTCTCTTGGCTTCATCAGAGCCAGGCAGGGCCAGTGCCACTGTCTTACCGCTGGCGGGGTCGGGACTCGGCCTTGCCAACCCTATTGAATCCCAAGACACTGCCTTCAGGGCTGGATGATTATCCCCGTGCTTCGCACCCTTCAGCCACTGAACGGCACCTGGACCTGCGGTGCTGGGTGGCACTGGGGGCCCGTGTGCTGGTGCAGCTAGCAGAGCAGCTGGGAGAGGCTGAGGCAGTTGCAGAGCTGGGCCCGCTAGCTGCCTCACTGGGGGCAGAGGAGATCCTGGATGAGTTACACTGGGCCCCAGAGCTAGGAGTTTTTGCAGACTTTGGGAACCACACAAAAGCAGTGCATCTGAAGCCTCGTCCCCCTCATGGGCTGGTTCGGGTGGTGGGCCGGCCCCACCCTCGCTTGCAGTATGTGGATGCCTTGGGCTATGTCAGTCTTTTCCCCTTGTTGCTGCGGCTGCTGGACCCCCACTCATCCCGCCTTGGGCCACTGCTGGATGTTCTAGCTGACAGTCGCCATCTCTGGAGCCCCTTTGGTTTACGCTCCCTTGCAGCCTCCAGCCCCTTTTATGGCCAGCGCAATTCAGAGCATGATCCTCCCTACTGGCGAGGAGCTGTGTGGCTCAATGTCAACTACCTGGCCTTAGGGGCACTCCACCACTATGGGCATCTCAAGGGTCCTCACCAAGCCCGTGCTGCCAAGCTCCACAGTGAGCTCCGTGCCAATGTGGTGGGCAATGTGTTGAGGCAGTATCAGGCCACAGGTTTCCTGTGGGAGCAGTACAGTGACCGGGATGGGCGGGGCATGGGCTGCCGCCCTTTCCAGGGTTGGACCAGCCTTGTTCTACTGGCCATGGCTGAAGACTACTAAAGGGAGAGTATGGGAGGGGAGTGAGGTCCCTGTACCACTCTGGACTAGAGGGACCAGGTCTCTAACTTCCGCCCCCAACCCTCAGATACCAGTGCTCCAAACCCTCATCTCAGGTGTCTCCTCATTATCATCCCACACAACCCAGGGGTGAATGTGAATTCAGAGTCTATTTTTCTAAATAAATTGGGAAACCATGCCAAATTATTGTATTTGCCAGCTTTGCCTGACCAAGAGGTCTTAGCTCAGTCCAGGCCTTAGGGCTGCCTCCTATCCTTCAGGGAAGCTAGGAAAGGTGGCCATTACCTGTCCCCTCCAAGTCCATGCAGGTACAATGAAGTGAGTTGAGCACTAGACCACCCAAGTCCACAAGCAGCTGGTTCACATCTCTTTAATGAGATCAAAGGCTCCTGTGTATGTCACTGGGGGTAGAGCTAGCACAGTCCCCCAAACATGGCCCCTGTCCCAGGACTCCAGCCCTTTCAGGCAGATTCTAGGAAGGCAGGGAGAGGCCGAGAACTCCAGGAGTTGGAACCAGGGCTGTTTCTAGTGGGCAAGCAACCAACCCATCCTCCTAAAACTGCTTATGGGATGCCCCCTTCACTGGTAGCCAGCCCCATAGAAGAAACTTGGGGTATGGGGTCTAGGGACAGTGTACACGGGGGACAGTCCCCCAGATCTGGCTGAATAGCACTAGCCTTAGCCTCCTTGACTGGCTCACCCTCACTGGAGTCAGGACAAGGGCACAGCTCGATGCCAGAGTCACCAGTCAGGCGGCGATAGCGGCAAGAGGGGGGTGTGGGGGCAGGGCTCACCCCTGCCCCAGGCTCACCCTCCTGATGAGGGGGGGCACTCTGGTGGGAGGAAACACCTTCCACATTTGTTCCCTCGAAGTGGGCAGGGCAGCTAGAAGTGGAGGAGCAGCAGGTACATTCCCTGGAAGCAGTCAAGGGGCAGCCTGGGACCGCAGTGTAAGGAGGTGGTGGTGTGCCCGGGCGGTGAACCACATCCTCATAGGCTGGGGGTTTGAAGGCGCTGAGGAGGCCTGCAGGAAAGAATGGCATAGTTGGTTGAAGGCAACCAGGGATGAGGTGGTGGTCTCTTTACTGTTAGGGAAAAGTGTGCTTTGAAATGTCTGAAAACAAAATGTGGGGATAATTCAGGGTCCTCATTGGGGAGGAGCCACTGGTAGTGAGCCCAGAGCCTCAAGTCACTCACGAAGGTCAAGCAGTGAACTGGCAGGAACAGGGCCAGCCCCATGGCATGCCCCGTGGTAGGCCAACAAGTTGATCTCACGCTGCCGCTGCTGTTGCTGCAGCCGGAGTTTAGCTCGTCGATGACGGAAGGCGCAACAGCAGCTAAAGAGGATGAGGACAGTCCAGAGCAGCCAGAACCCTGCAGGGGGGTGAAGAGGAAGAGTCTCAGATACCTCCCATGCAAAGAAGGGTCCTTGAAGGCTAGAATTCTGAGGTCCAAGGGAGGGTGGGCAGAAGGACCCGAGAACAGCCCCCATAGAGACTCACACCAGAGCTCATAGTAGTAGGTGCAGCAGCCAGTCTCCCCGCAGCAGTGGCCACTCTCACAGAGGTAGGGCTGGTTGTTCACTCCTGGGCAAACCTCTCGAAGCTGGGAGCAAGGAGGCACTTGGCACCAAGGGAGATTCTAGCCCAAGGCACTGTTCACCCCCACACCCAGCCCCTGCATGCACATCCACAAGCCCACCCTGTGAACCAAGTGGAGCACAGATCTATGAGGAGGCAAGAGTGATGCTGAGATTAGTGTTCAAATGTCTGAAGGGCTGTCAACATGGAAGAGGATTTGGAATAGCAAAAATCAGCCTGGAGAACAAGATGAAGATGTGAACACAGAGGCAGATTTCAGCTCTGCATATAGACTGGCCCCAGGGCATTTTCTGTTAACAGGGTGTTTGGGCAGAAGCCAGAAGATAGAGCAATCTCAAAATCTCAGACAGTGGGTAAAGGGTTTAAAGTAATTTCCAACGCTAAGACGCTTTCATCGTCCCCCATGGTCTGCCATTCCCCATCCCCAAGGTGGACCTTTCCACCCCTGAGTCTCAGACTTCCTAGGATAGAGGAGGGACAGTGTGAGACCCAGAGCAGTGCTCCCAACTAGGTGGGATTGCTGTGGATGATAAAGGATGGCATCCAGGGCGCGAGTCTGGGTTCCAGCTCTTCTCCAAATTGCTCCCTCAAGAGAAGACGCTATTGGGCTCTGTTGTGACAATAGGCACACAGAAAAGCAACACAAATAACTGTTGCAAGACAGGGAGCCTCCCTGGGGCCTCACTATGCCTCTGGTCACTGGAGAGTCACTGTAAGCTCCCACTGCAGCCATGGGATGGGTCTATGAGGCTGCAGGCAAAGTCAACTGCATCTACGTTACGAAGTTTAAACAAAGAATGAAAGGGACATATTTAGGAACTTCACAATACCTTTGGCTCCGTGAGTTCCTACCCAACCCCCCCAAAAGAAAGGGACAGAAAAGGGGAAAGGGAAATAGATGGCTATCGGGCTATGCTTTTGGAGCTGATGGGATACCTGCTGTTGCGGCACCCGAAGTGCCCCCCAGGCCTCCTCGCTGCCGTTCCCGCTGCTGGCCCGAGCCATGCCTCCACCTACAGCCCCCTGAAGACTACAGCCTCCTCTACTGCCAGCCGCCCCGCCCCTGCCACCTCTGCCGCCACCGCCATGGTCCCTGCCCGGCCCATCTCCGCTGCCGCCACCATCACTCCGCGGCCGGAGCTCCCATCCGGGGAGAGCTCTGCCAACTAGGAGCCAGGTTGCTCCGTCCTACCAATCAGCATCGCCCTCCGGCGAACGGGCCAATAGGGTCGGATCGGAGGCTTTTGCTGGTGACCAATCCACAGCAGCGCCCCTGCCACTCTCCCAGACAACAAGCGCTCTCCCAGACAAAGAGTGGGGTAAGGTTCGACCCACGGCCCTGACTGACAGCGACAATAGCCAACGTGGACAACAGAACAGGCTTCAAGTTGTCAACCAATGAACTGCCGTCCAGGAGAGCAAGCTTCCCTCTGATTGGCTTGAGTCCTGTTTCCTGGAATGACGCCAAATGCCCGCTCACGCCAGGTAATCCCGCTGGAAGAGATGGGAGTCCCCCAAGTCGGCGGAGTCTGAGCGCCAGCGGCCAGCCTTCCTGTGCCCGGGCTTGACGGACGTTTTCGAGGCGTGAGCGCAGCTCTGATGGGGGCAGTATGTGTGGACAGGGAATTGGCTTCCCATACCCCATACACTCAATTCTGTAAACTCGGTACAAGTCGAGGCACCGGATAACATTTAATAAGGAAGACACTGGATCGGGCAGGGGAGAGGGTACAGAGTCCTGGTTACGGGCCTTAAGTAGCCAAAAGGGGGGACCCGGGGCCTTCGGGTCTCCCCAGGCGCATCTGCAGGTTGATGCGGTAGCACTGCAGGCTGCAGAGTGCCTGGCCTGTGCGGGAGCAGGCGTAGCGGCGCGGGTGCGGACAGCCAGGGACCGAACACCGCGGAGGAGGGCCAGGCGGGGGTGGCCGCTGAGACACTGGTGCGGGGGTGGGGACGCCAGGTGGGAAGGAAAGGGTGGCTC